AGTCTTCATCAGATGAGTGGCCAACTTTCTGAATAAGCTATCCCTTAGATTCAAGTAATTAATTCGCCGTGGTAGCTCTTTATCGAAAAAGGCCTACAATCGTTTCGTGACCAAAAATCAGAATCAGTTGCCGCATCCGATTTTTTCCGTAAATCCAAAAAGGACCCGAAATCTCTGCTTTTGTTGTGCGGTAATCAATGTTGCTAATCGTGCTCATCACAGCGAAATGGTCCAGAAAAGGTTGAAGAGCCGGAATTGCAACTTTGACCGGACATTACCTCTAAGCGCTGTCTCATTCACATCCTGCAGTTTTCAACTTACAGTGTTACTAGGTTTCCTCGAGACTAGTGCAACTACAGCAAAAGCTCTACTATGACCGTTTGGCAAGAACTACAGATATAAATAACCTTGATGAAGAAATGCAGGCACTCAATATTATGGAGGTGAGGAAAGACTTAGTACTTTTGCCATTCACCACTGCATTACCCACCGTTCACCAACCTTTTTGAAAAGATCTTGATCATCCCCTTTTTTATAGTCCATAAGTGATGAAGACCGCGAAGCCCTTATAGATCATATACACGAAGCTGACGATGATAAGGAGATCATACGAAAGGTAAGCGCTTGTTATTACCGATCACTATACTTGGAATATGATAAGCTTGCAAAGAATCAAACGCTCACTTTTATCTCGCGTCTGTTAGCCAGTTATACCCATGGCATGGCTTTCCTACGCGATCGGGATTCTAATTTTTTTGAATTTTCTCTACTGCTGCTCAGGTTGAGGCAAATTGAAGAAAAAGTGGTACTATATCAGTAGCTCGAGCACAACCTTCAAAAACAAAACATTCTCTTTGAACTAGTCTCTTTATTTTAAGATTTTAAATTAAATTCTTTTAAAACATTACACATCAAATTTTTAGGTAAGCGCATATGGAATGGATATAAAAAAATTCACCGAAGCGCTCAAAACAGCAATAAAGGATGGAAAGAAAGCTTAAGTTTGTTCTTTTTCTAGAAAGTAAGCGTTCAATGGATGTATTGCATTAGCTGTCATGTTATATTGTTGAGAGATTTCAGACTAAAATGCCTCAAATGCAGATTTGCTCATTTCTAACGTGTTATTGTGCATTTTGTTATTAGAAAAGGAGATGATCTCCACAAACTTTCAAC